CCCCCCAGACCCCCTCCCCAGGCTGCCACCGCTCACTGCCCGTTTCCCGCCGGCAGCCATGCACACTCCAGCCCCGGCCGAGCTGTTCATCTCGGGAGCCCTGCCGGGCTCGGGCACCTTCCCGTCCTCGTCGGCGCTGGGCCCGTACCAGCACCCCGCGTCCTTCGGGGGCCGCAGCTTCCCGGTGGGCTCCCCGCTCAGCCTGCCCGAGGCCGCCTTCAGCCCCGGCTCCAACGGGCTGCTGTCGCCGCACGACCCTCTGCTGCACATCAAACCCGCGCAGCCCGCCGTGCCGTCCTCGCTGGGCTTCGACCGCTTGGGCTCGGCCGTGCTAGGCTCGGCTTTACCGGCTCAGACGCCGCCTTACCGCCCGGCTCCCAGCTCGTCCCAGTTTAACCTGCTGTCGGCTCCGCTGCCCGCGCCGGCCGAGCAGCCGCCGCAGCTCTACAACGCTCCCGTGTTCGGCGGGGCCAACGCGGCGGGAGGAGGAGGAGGAGGAGGAGGAGGCGGCGGCGATCGCGCCATATCGCGACAGGACAGCGTCATCAAGCACTACCAGCGGCCCGGCGCGGCTCAGCCGCAGCTGCCGCCCGCTCCCAGCCTGCAGCATTACCTGAGCTGCGGCGGCTCCTACCAGCAGGTTCACCGAGCCCCCGCGCTCTCCTGCAGCCCGCTGGGCGAGCAGTCGCCCGCCAGCTCCGAGGGCTCGCAGCAAGCCCCTAAGAACGCGCCGCCAGCGCCTCGGCCCGAGCCGGGCTACCGGCCCATCATTCAGTCGCCGGGCTACTCCGGGGGCAGCGCGGCGGGCAACGGCGGCGCGGGCGGCGGCGGCGGCGGCAAGTCCAAAAGTTACTCGGCGTCCCGGCAACCGCCGCGCTCCACCAACACGCCCAAGTGCCAGAGCAGCTACACGCCCAGCACGCCCAAGCCCAGCTCCGTGATCGCCAGCCAGTCGCCCGCCTACTCGCCGGGCCAGCCGCCGCAGAGTTTGCTGGCCATGGGGGGAGCCGGCGGCTACAGCGCGGCCGGAGCGCCCCAGAGTCTGGGAGGGGGCGCGCAGCCCGCGGGGGGCTTCAGCGGAGGGCAAGGGGGGGACATGGCGGGCAAAGCCACCGGCTACCAAGGCGGGGGGCAAGCGGGAGGCCAAGGCGGGCTACAGCCGTGCGTCAGCGGCGCGGGCACCTACTCGCCCGAGCAGCTGCAGGCGTTGCCCTACGGCGTGCAGCCCGAGGGAGGGCAAGCCGGCGGCTACGGCCCGCCCGCCCCCTCGCAGGGCTTGCCCACGGCCAGCCCCTCGCTCACCTACAGCACCGGCCACTCGCCCGCCATGCCCGGGCCGCCCTTGCCCTACGCCGGCCTGGGCGGCTCCAGCCCCTCGCCCATCATCCGCCCGCTGCAGTCGCCGCCGGCCGCTCGCCCGCAGAGCGGCGCCTCGCCGGGCCAGTCGCAGAAGTACCTGGGCTCGGTGTTGTCGCCGTCGTTCATGAGCCCGCAGGGCTACGGGGCGGCTCCGGGCGGGCTGGAGCGGCAGGCGCCCCCCGCCTCCGCCGGGGCCCCGCCGAGCTTTGGCAAAGGAGCCAAGGGGGACGCGGAGCTGCTGGCGGCGGAGCGCAGCGAAGACGAGGATTTCCTGATCCAGCACCTGCTGCAGGCGCCCAGCCCGCCCCGCGAGGGGCTGGGGGGCTGCGAGGAGCGCCCCAAGAGCATGGCCGGCTACGGGGGGCCACTGGGCAAGGAGGAGCGCTACCAGCTGCAGAGCGTCATCCGGCCCAACTCCAACCTGGAGGCGCCGCTGGAGCTGGCGCTGCTCAAGGAGAAGAAGAAGCCGGAGCGAGGGAAGGAGTTCCGGGGAGCCGGCGGGGCCGGGGCCGGCTCCGGGGGCGAGGGGCTAGCGGCCACCTCGGTGGTGCATTACGGCCACCAGCCGCCGCCCACGCTGGACTCGTACGAGATGAAGAAGCCGCCCGAGCACCTGTCCGGCGGCAAGGAGCTGGGCCAGCCGCCGCCGCCGCACTCCTACTTGCCCAAGACCCCCGAGCACGGGCGGCTGGTGGGCGAGGGGCCGGCGCTGGAAGCCCACAACCTCCTGCTGGACCCTGCCCCGGAGCTGGGGGGCTCGCTGCTGCCCTCGGTGCTCACGCACACGCAGAGCCAGCTGCACCCGCGGCCCAAGGGCAGAGCCCCGCTGGACGTTCACCTGCTGGAGCAGCAGCGGATGCCGCCGCCGCCTCCTCCTCCTCCTCCTCCGCCGCCCCCCGCTCCCCCCTCGGCTCCCCCGGCCCCTCCGGCCGCCCCCTCCCCGCAGCTGCTGCTCGAAGCTCACCTGCACCAGGTGCGCTCGCAAGGGCTGGACCCGCAGGCCCCGCCGCCGCTGCCCCCGGACTCCATGGAGGTGCTGCCCCCTCCCCAGGAGATCCAGGATTTCCTGGAGCCCCCCCTGGGCTTGGAACCGCACCTGGGGCAGAGCGCGGGGGTGCAGGGCCCACCTGGACACCTGCTGGACCCCGAGGGGGGGGTCCCCGCCGTGCCCCCCGAAGCCAAGGACCAGTTTTCGGAAGGGGGCAGCCCCGCGGGGGGCAAGGGGCGATTCGTGCCCCTCACCTCCATCTGCTTCCCGGACGCGCTGCTGCAGGACGAGGACCGCGGCTTCTTCCCCGGCATGGAGGACATGTTCGGGCCCCCGCCCGAGGATTTCCCCAAGCCCACCGAGGAGGAGGAGGAGGACGGCAGCGCGGCCGGCAGCGGGCTGGAGGCGCGGGCCGAAGGCCTGAAACCCCCTCCCCCGTACGACATGGGGCAGAGCTACCCGTCCTTCTGCCCGCAGGACGGAGGGGCCGCAGGGGACCCCCCCCAGATGGGGCTGGAGCCCCCCAAGCACGAGCTGCCCTCCACGGTGAACGCGGAGCCGCTGGGCTTGATCCAGAGCACGGGCGGCGAGGGCGGCCCCAAGGCCCCTCCGCCTCTCAGCACCCCTTTGTTCTGCTCCTCCAAACCCAAAAAGCTGCTCAAAACCTCCTCCTTCCACCTGCTGCGGAAGCGGGACCCCTTCCCACCGCCCAAAAAAACCTACGCGCAGGAATACGAGTTCGAGGACGACGAGGACAAGGCCGACGTGCCCGCCGACATCCGCCTCAACTCGCGGCGCCTGCCCGACCTCCTGCCCGACCTCATCTCCAGCTGCCGCCGGCCCCCGCTCACCCCCATGGGCGACATCGACTTCTGCCCCCACCCCGGCGCCCACCCGGCTCCCAAGAAGCGAGGCCGCAAACCCACCAAGCCCAAGCGGGAGGGGCCGCCCAGGCCCCGGGGCAGGCCCAGGATCCGGCCCCTGGAGCCGCCCGGCTTCCCCGACGGAGCCAAGAGGCCGCGGGGCAGGGGGAGAGGACGGGGCAAGAAGGGCGCCGAGGACGGAGAGGGCGTGGAGCCGCTCAAGCCGCTCAAGGTGAGCGGGCTGCGGGGTGTGGGGCTTAAACGGGACCGAAATGAGCCGAAATTACCTGAAATTTGGGTTATTAGTGAGATGGAGGGTGTCAGGGTGAGCGGGCTGCGGGGTGTGGGGCTTAAACGGGACCGAAATGAGCCGAAATTACCTGAAATTTGGGTTATTAGTGAGATGGAGGGTGTCAAGGTGAG